CTCAAATAGGTACGCTACTCTTCCCACCGATGTTGGGGATACCAACCCAGTCCCGGTGAAGCGGACGAAAAAGAGGAAGAAGAATCAAGGACAGTCCGATGGTACGAGCGGACGCGACGATGTTACCGCGACGAACGCCAGCGACATCGGTGATTTCGGCGACGCCGTCGAAACCGAGAATTCTGCCGACCCGAGTGCGGTGAAAATCAAGCTTCCTCCACTGGTGGTGAAGCAAGTACCACTCAACACGCTGAGTTTAAGCTCGGCAAGATCGGCACCAAGGTGATGCTGCGAACAAAAGCGGAGTACGAAGTGGCCGTGAGATATCTGAAGGATTCCAAGGCGGAATTCTTCACACACGACATCCCCGGTGAGAAGCCCTTCAAGGTAGTCATCAGGGGTCTACCAAACTTCGACCCCAAGATGGTCGAAGCTGAAATCAACCGGTACAAGCTAGCCCCAATCGCTGTATTCCGAATGACAAGGAGAGACGAAAACGTGAAGACGTACCCGGATTGCCTCTTCCTGGTGCACTTCCAGAAAGGGACGGTGACTCTCAATGCGCTGCAAGCCATCCGATCGATCTACTCCATCATCGTACGATGGGAGCCATACCGTGGCGGCCATCGTGACGTACCGCAGTGCCAGCGGTGCCTCAATTTTGGACACGGTACCCGCAACTGCAACATCAAGCCACGCTGCAGCAACTGCGCTCAAGAACACGCCACTTCCAACTGCCCTGCGGATGGAGCCGTGGCGTTAAAATGTGCCAACTGTGGTGGTGCACATCAAGGTTCCGACAGACAGTGCTCCAAACGCGAGGACTTCAAACGCATCCGAAAACAGGTGGCAACTAACAACCAACCAGGACGCAAGAAGGACAAAGTCCCGGCATTTCGGACGGAGGATTTCCCGCCTCTTCGTGCTCCCCAGCAAAGGCAAGCGAATTCGCGGGTGCATCCCGCTCAAGCAACTTCCGGTGATTCTGCTGGCCAAAGTTCTCCATCCCCCCTGCATTCTGGAGACAACCAACAGCACAAAACAACTACCCCGATCTGTTCTCAGCGGATGAACTGATGGAAATTTTCGTCAACATGACTGGTGCTCTACGTAAGTGCCGGCAATAAGCCCGAACAGATCCAAGTGCTCGGTAAGTTCATCATCCAGTATGGTGTCTAAACCGCTAACCATCGCTACCTGGAACGCTGGAGCAAAACAGATTGAGCTTGCCGACTTCCTCCGCAAGCATAGCATCGACGTGGTTCTTCTAACCGAGACCCACCTAAAGTCCGGTAACAGCTTCTGGTTGGCCTGACCACAACATTATCCGGCTTGATCACACCAGCTCCAGGGGGGTGGTGTAGCGGTCATCGTTAGAAAAAATACAAAAAATACAAAGTTTAGAGTGGGACGCCCCTAGCATGTATCCATTGAGCTTTCTGACGTTTATAACACGCAAACTTGCGTAATCCTGTTTTCAAGTGAGAAGTTTGTTGTCTACACTTTCGCTCCAGCCAAAAATGTTGGTTTGTTATTTTTGTCCTCACTTTCAGATCATCAATACTCGTGCATATAGAATGGACTACATCCAATTTGCTCTCTCTGCATCGTTAACTAAGTACTACAGCGGCTACTTCCTTTGCATGATACAGATTCACTTGAATAAATTTGATTTTCGTGTTTTAAATAACGCTGAATTGATTTGTAGTACTCAGGGGGAACGACACTTCAGGATTATCCCATTTTTACCCAAACCTCTCATATAATTTTCAACGTGCACAAAATTTCAATCCATCCTATCTATTCTTTCTATTCCCAACTTATCCCTTCTGCATGCACACAAATTGTCAAGCAAGCCGTGCAGTTTCTCGAAGTTTTCAGGTCGACCGCGAAGCACTCTGCCATACTCACTGTCAGTTTACAACACTCTCCACAACAAACACCACGTATGTCAGCTGGCCAAGCCGATGAAAAATCGGTGCGAAAACTAAAAAAAAAGATGAAGGACTACTCGGTCTCGGAGCAAAAAACATCAAGTGCATCACGGAGGAGACGGCAACGCACATCCATTTCCCGGACTCAAACCGATCGAATTCGACGGATAAGAGCCCGGGTCTCTGTGTGTTGTAGCATGAAAGTTGCCGAACAGGCGCAAAGCAACTGGCAACTGTTGATTTCGTTCGAACTGCTGATTCTAGCCCCGGGAAAAGCCTTACTAATGAAACCCCCTACGACAAGCAGGTGGAATAGGTGTTCAGGTCATTTTTTCCCCTCGGCCCAAGTTTTACTCGTCTCTGCTGCTGGTCAAGGGTTCGGATTAGAAAGAGCTAATGGTGAAGTAAGACACCCACCGGCTGATGTATTTCTGTGCGAGAATATTGCGAATCAAATTCCCGTCCAAATACAGCTGGGAATATTAACCGTAGCCTTGTAATCCATCGCCATCACTCGTTCCTCCCCTAATAAAAATTGTATGGTTAATTTGCTTAACGACGTGTTCTGGGTATCATCCAAACCATTTGTGGAATAGTTCAATGATTTGGGTTATCGTTCGTTTATGGTTATTTTTTATTAGGGTCCTACTGTGCAGTTTCGACCTATTCGGTGCGAAACCGTTTTCTGCACTTGAGCTGTGAGCTTTGGTTATTATAGTTGGGCGGTGTCCGGAGCGGTGTCCATTAATTCCGTTTCGCTAAAAATCAATATTTTTGACCCCCCCCCCCCTTGTTTGGAACAAAACGTTACACTTAAAATGACCCCCCTCTATTTATTACGTAACGTTCTATAAACCCACACCCCCCGCCTTTTCATTTAATTAATGCTTGATTTCGTTTTGTATTTTTTATGTTTATGTAATTAATTAAATTATTAATATTCAAAACAAAAACAAAAGATCAGCGTACCATCGAGTACCTCCTTTTCAAAAGTTCAAGGATAGCAAAAAAGCTCAATTTATAAAATTAAAACAGATCCATTTTGCAAAGCAAGATTTAGTTATGACAGCCTTCGTTGTCATAATTCGTTGCTAAAAACGTCAAAAAAGACCTGTATTTTAAAACTTTACATCAAGTAACGAAAAAAAAAACAAAATGTTCTCTTTGTTACGTAACGCAAAGCTTTACTACTCCTCCCCTATGTATAATTCGTAACGATATAGGTGACCCCCTCTCCCCCTATAAGCATTACGTAATTCATGGACGCTTCATTGCAGCAAATTTTTCTTCTTTTTACACCTATCCTCTTCGCGTTCAGACTCGTATCCCTCTGAAATTCTTTAACACCCCTCACATCACATCAATTAATCATTTTGTTCGACCATTTTCCACAGAGATGGCGCTGTTCCGCTGGTAGGAAGTGATAAAAATCCCCATATAGAAATTGAGAGAAGTGCGAATAATTCGCTTCCGGTGCATATTCAGGTCAAAAAAAGTGAACGACAACCTAAAGAAATTAGTCAGGGGCTTTGTCGTTCAGTTTTTTCCCGGAAATTAATGGTAAACAAGCTACAATTAAATAAAAATGATTTTTCCCCATACAGTTTTACCTGCTTTACTACCAGTCCCCAGAGAGCCAAAAAATTCAAATTAGAGAGAGAAAATTTACTCTCACGACCTCAATCTCTCAACATGCCATGTATTTTGTTGACACTCGATTTGTGATTTCCCTTTCACAGATTACAAAATAGAGTACCTGACACTACAAAACATGTCTGGCACCTCTATATATGCATTTGCTTTAACATTTGAAGACCCTCCTTTTTTACATATTCTGCACAAAAGATACTTTATGCCCCGCCCCATACATAAAATTCGGCGGGAAATCCTGTGAGGGGTGAGCTATTTTGTGTGCAGAATGTGTAAAAAGGGAGGGATTTTGGATGTTAATCTAAATGCATATATAGAGGTATAAGACATGTTTTGCACTGCAGTGTCCTCTGTGAACAATTATAGGAAAACAGATTGTGTCTAGTTTCCGATAGATGTCACCGCAAACAACAGCTGTGACATCTGATGGAACATGAATGCAGAAGCTTGACAAAATGATCAATTGCCTGATCTATTCCCATCTATTTTTTTCTATGCCTGCTCTATTTTCGTCAACACGACACACTAAAAAAAATCCCATCAAATATGTTTTTCCCCGAAAATCCCAAGTAATTACTAGACTGAAAAAATACATCCAAATGAGTGTCGTTCCCCCTGGTAGTACTTGATCCTCAACGTTGGGTTTGCGGTTTCCAATAGGTGGATTTATAGTAGCCTGAAGATGTATAACTCTATATCCCAGCACAGGTCCTTAATTTGTCATTCGATCATCATTTCTCGTACTGCTGACTGTGTTAGTAGTGTGAACAGACAGATCTAGGATTGATCCATGCTCACTTCTTTGGTCTAGGTTCGTTGTTTCGATGATCTGGTCAGTTATTTCTACTTGATTCCTCTTCTCGAATTTCTTCCTTATTTCCGGTTCGAGCATAAACTGTTTTTTTTTGTAGTGATCACAGTGGCAGCATAACCTTGCTAAAACTTTACACTGGACCCCTTTTATTGGTAAATTTTGCTTCTATGAGCCTCTATTTTAAATCAGCACACAGACGTTCCTAGGCTATGGTGCCCATTTGATCACTGTTGTTTTTGTGTTGATCCAAGTAGTTTTGATAATATATTTGCTCATTCCCTTTGTTATGATAAAAATAGTCATATCCATGATAATGATCCTTCCCAAAAGTTCACTTATTCGTAAGCACCTGATGGAAGATATGACTTTCACTTTAGCCACATTGCCTGTAATTAACAAATATACTAAAGATTTATTCTACTACTGTAAAGGCTAGTTGCATTCCTAAGCGGAATCCCCGCGGTAGATCTTACACCGTAACGCACCTTCGAAAGGTGATCTACCCGCGTTACGGGGAAAATAGACTTTTTCATAAGACCTGTTCACGAATTGGCAGATATAACACCTTCAGATTTCGAATAACACATAAAAAGACAAACTGCTTACCAGTACGAACATAAATAAATTTATTATTCACTTGAGTTTAATCGTTATAACATATGTTCTGGAGTCTATTTTACAGCGTACAATTAATAATTTGCACAGAAAAAAAAACGTTTATCCTGTGAGCGGAACGATTACGTCCCTCCCACGAAAATTGTAATCAATAGAACCATAAAAAACCGCAGCCAGTTTTTGTCGTGCCACCTCCTGTGCATTGGATTAGTTCCGTTCATGTTTGTTTTGTTTCCGAAACTATTGGGGTCATAATATTGTTTAAAGCTTTTGCTAGTTGGAGAGGTTCTTCGTATTTTTCAGGTTTTTGTTTGGTTCCTCCAATCAGTATGGTTCCGTGCGTTATTCCACCGTTTGAACCTCTAAACTAAGCATAACATTATCAAGGTAAAAGCGTTCGTCGATATAAATTTGGGACATTGTTCTACTCCGTGGTAAAGATGCGTCCGTTGAATATTTTGGATTTTTGTTTAGCGTGCCTAAACTTAAAATAGGTTAAGAGAAATGCAACTTTATAATTTGGTTCAGGTGATAATGTCTCTAAACTATGCGTAAACAAGCAAATCCAAAGGTGATATTTACAGAAAATCGTTTACTATGTATCGTTTCGTGTATAAATTTAAATGATCATTAAAAGAAAACAGAAGTCCTATCCAACAAACATTTCGTACAACAGTGTAATAGCTATTCACAGAATTCGATAGATCTACCAACCATGAAACTAAACAAGTGTGATGATGATGCTGACGTTTGCGTCCAACAGTGTCATCTAGGCGGCAGGCATGTCGGGAATAATGGATGTGAAAAACGACAAAACCAACGTCCGAAGGAAAGCAGCGACGTCATTCAGATTGACACGGTTCGCTTCCGGTACAATTTCGGATGGATCAGCGGGCTGTTCCTCGGCATTGGATTCCACGACCGCCGTCGAGAGTGTCTCCTCTACGGGCGAGTCCTGCGTTGAAGCGCTGTTCCGAATTTCTGTCGAAGAACTGCTTTCCGCAGACTTTGCTCCATCAGTCGTGTCGGCGTCGGCTTTAGCTGCTACGGTTGCTGTGGATGCCGTCGGTTGTGGAGTAGCTGGTGCTTGTGCATTGGCAGCAGGTTCAGCGGCAGCCGGAGCGACAGGTGCCCTTGCTCGAAGGCCGGCAACATTTGGCCGGATGCCGTGAGCGTTGTTCATCTGTTGCACCACCATTCGTCGGGCTCGTTCCAACCGGTCGGTGTTAGTGTTACGGAAAAAGCCAATTTGGTAGCTGGAAAATCATTAGTTATTTAAGACCATCCTCAATACGGCCCTAAGTATACTTACAGATACAGAGATATTCCGATTAGGAAAACTGTCAAACACCGTGTTGGTGACGAGTAAAGATAAACGACGGTCATGAGAATTCCCACTCGGCACATGCTGAAGAAAATGTCCAACCAATCGCGGTTCTCTTGCTCTTCCACGACAATGTTCGGGAACCTCCGGGCTGGAGCGGCTGCAGCAGCAGGAGCAGCATCAGCTACCGGCGCTTGTTGTGCCTGAGCTGATGTGTCTTCAACGGCAGCGGCGGCGGCGGTGGCGGTCGATGCCGCGTTTACAGTTGAACTGGAAGGTGAACTGGCTGGGCTGGTTCCAGGCACCACAGAAGATGCCGTTGTTGGTGACGAGCTTGCACTGCTCGGGATTGTTGGCTGACTAGAAGGACCGGCCGTCACACTGTCTACTGATGATGTTGGGCTAGTTGGAATCGGGCCACTAGATGTTATCGGAGCTGGAATGCTACTGGCCGACGGCATCGGTGATGAATTCATTGTGGACAGGTACGGATAGTACGCCAGGTTGGGTAGAGTTTGAGCTAGAATGGGATTTTGGATCGCTGGAGTTGCCAGGGCGGCCGCTTGGGGACTAGGTTGAGGTATGTTGGAGTTTGTTAGGTTTGTGGGAGCACTGGCGTATAGTGATTGAGGGTTTTGTCCGTTGGATATCCTAAAAATTTAGCAATGGTTAAATTAACATGGTATCGTCTTCAGAAATTCCTAAGCAAAACTTACACATTCATGTATTGATTCAGATACTGCATGTAAGCCTGTTGCATCCAGTTCTGCATTGCCAAATGTTGGCCCATGATGTAGTCAGCCGAAGCCGGTGAAATGGGACTCGTGTTCATGGTCGGCGCTGCGTTGCTACTCTGGCCTCCGGTTATGTTCCTCTGGCGCAAACCATCTGCTCCCGGTTCCGGAGACCGCACAGGTTCACTGTTACCTCTGGAACTGGCAGCTGTAGATGTGGCCCCGGATTCACTGCTTGTTTTTGGCGACATGGTCTTGTTGGAGCTGGAACTACCACCGGAGTTATTGTTGGAGCTGAAATCCCTGTGACGATTGTTTTTCGGCGTGAATACTAAATGTACAGTATGAGCCTGTTGGCCATCGTAGTGACGGAGAATATCTTTCAGTATGACGCTATCGCCGAGCAGCTGACCGGAGTAGATTAGCTTCTGCTCGTCGGTGGTCTGGAAGAGAGAATAACACGTCAGTGCTATTGAAAAATTCGTTTCATCCCGAACTGGGCATACAATATTGCACCTCTCCCAATACAGCTGTACTGCTTCAGAAAAGAAACACTTATTGTCAACACTTGCTATTCTCTAGTCTTGCCAACGATACATGGACACGTAGCTTTTGCGTGGCTCAACGTTGTTATCAGTTGGAAGCAGTGAAACCACAACAACAAAAATAATGATTATGGCAATTTAATTTCGGGCTATCTTCCAGTAAAGTCAGCTTCTGTTAAACTACGCATTACCGAAATCAGATTGCCGTTTGTCTTCCAGATCTTCACTCGACGAGTATGACAACGGTTTCGAATTATATCCCAATTGCAAGTCATACCCGAGATCGACCGTACAGCAAAGTCGTCCTATAATATGGCACACGTCCGGGACTTCGAATTGTCGAACGAAAACTCAAACCTCACTCGAACTCTTATTGACTTGAACTGGTATTGGCACATGGTATGGTGTAGGTATGTATCACTGATTAGATTTTTATAGAACTGTAGTATAGGTTTAATGCCATCGTCAGCCGTCTGGTGGATCGAAAACAAAAAATCCTGCATTTTTAATTCAAAGCCACATCGATGTGTTTCTTTTGCTGAACACTAGAAGTTATTGAAATTTCTTTATCTGTGTTGAGCTCAAGGGCATGGAGAGCAAACATGGTGTTTTTTTGTAATCCATAGCAATATACGGATTCGTCTGTGCTCTTCAGTTAGACAAGGGGTTTTCAAACTTTAAAAGCCACGGACCCCTTTTCGGTTGGTTTATGAACATAATATCTTAATTCAAACTCTATAGAGCATTTCTAGCCAGCATGTCAGTTTAGTCTCGACCCCATCCGATTTGAATGACATGTTCGCTGCTACCAATGGTTGCATTTTTCATATAAATATAATGTTTATACCGAGAGTAACTTTTGAAAAGGGCGTATTCAAACAATGGATATTTTTTTTTGAATATCATAACATGAAAATGATTGATCTGATCAAAATGACAACTTTTCTCATGGAAACTCGACAACTTCACGAATTAGTTACATGGATATCCCCCAGGGCTCATGTTTAAGCCCCCTTTTTATGATTTTTATGTAAAAGACATTGATGGTTGTCTTGATGAAAATTGCTCGCTAAGGCAGCTTGCAGATGATGGCGTTGTTTCCGTCACCGAGCCAAGTGCACCGGACCTGCAAGGACCATTGCAAGATACCTTAGACAATTTATCTACGTGGGCTATGAAGCTAGGTATCGAATTCTCTCCGGAGAAAACTGAGTTGGTTGTTTTTTTCTAGGAAGCATCATCCTCCACAGTTACAGCACGTTACAGCTTCATCTAAAGTGTAGAACAATCACTCAAAGTATATCAGGGTGCCGACTTAATGAAGAAAACCAAATTCCCTGATATTCCCTGATTTGCCAGTAATTTTCAAACAAATTCCAGATGTAGTGTCTACATGGTTTTGTCAACACGATCTCTTCAGCTATTACTTTTCTCAGATATGTATTACCCAACAAACAGTTCTAGCTGCAGACCAGCTTATACAGGCATAAATAGGATACATTACGTAATTTTTCGGTTGAATCAGCTATTCTGCAGCCAAAATTGTTAGTTGGGTAGTGCTTTCTGGACATTTTTTTCATTTAATACCACATGGACCTCTAACCCATGAAGAGTGATCCAGTACAATTTCAAATTGAATAAAGCCTTCGATACATTTTATAGAATGCAAATAAGACAGAAATCGCGTGTTGCCAAAAACGGGAAGGCATCACATTTTTTCTAAATTCACAAATTGTAATCGCGTTAAGCGTCAGGTTATCAGTTCAATTAATGATTAACAGCGAAGGAAACCGCAACCTTCTCGATATCAATCTACAAACAAGTCTTGCTTAATCGCTTAAAATTTTCAACAAGTTTCAAGTGAGAAAAGATCCTTGGCATGGCGATTTTCTCACCCTTAGAAGCAGTGTTGAAAATATTCACCAAAACTCACTATGACTCGCGAACTTTTACTTTGTTGAACTTCATGAAATATCGTGAACTTTTTCAACCCGGCTTAGAAGTTCTTTTCTGACTGTTTCTGAACTCAACGCTAGGGGCAGAAATTTAACTAGTTCTCATACATCTTACATATGAAACACTTGTCTTTAATCCTTCGAGCACAATTTGAAACCCAGCTCCGCAAGAAAATTATTCCGGTTAATACGCTTAACAAAACGCTAATTTGCGGCCAGAATCCTATGGTGGGGAATCTTAAAAACAGCGCTTTTATGTTTCACTGAGAAGCCAATTTTCAGAACTAATCAGATTTACAATGAAGACCTAGAATACTCAATAAAGCCACTATAAAGGGTGATACGGTCAAAATTTGGTCAAGGGAAAACGCGTGTAAATCGGTGAAATCGTTTATTTAAAAAAATCAAATTAAATTTCTTTTTCAAGTTCAATTAGTATAAAATTCAGGAAAAATATTCAGTTAGGCTTCCGCTTTTCCAAATCCGAATTGCCGGGCCTTACGCTTGACCCCTGCCATCAGATTTTGTACAGCCACCTTGTCCACCTTCTTCGCCGCAGAAAGCCTTGAACTGCTGCTCGCCCTTAGCAGTTTTTTTGGTCTTCTTTAGGTTCCGCTTGACAATAGCCCAGTATTTCTCAATTGGGCGGAGCTCTGGCGTGTTGGGAGGGTTCTTGTCCTTGGGAACCACCTGCACGTTGTTGGCGGCGTACCACTCCATGGCCTTTTTACCGTAATGGCAAGATGCCAAATCCGGCCAAAACAGTACGGAACAACCGTGTTTCTTCAGGAAAGGCAGCAGACGTTTATTCAAACACTCTTTCACGTAAATTTCTTGGTTGACAGTCCCGGAAGCTATGAAAATGCTGCTTTTCAAGCCACAGGTACAGATGGCTTGCCAAACCAGATATTTCTTTGCGAACTTTGACAGTTTCATGTGCTTGAAAACATCTGCTACCTTTCCCCTTCCTTTTGCCGTATAAAACTCCTGTCCCGGAAGCTGCTTGTAGTCGGCTTTGACGTAGGTTTCGTCGTCCATTACCACGCAGTCAAACTTCGTCAGCATCGTCGGGTACAGCCTCCGGGATCGCGCTTTGGCCGTCGTATTTTGTTTATCATCGCGATTTGGAGTCACTACCTTCTTGTAAGTCGATAGTCCGGCTCGTTTTTTGGCTCGATGCACGGTTGTAGACGATACACCCAGCTTATTTGCGGCATCTCGGAGAGAGAGGTTAGGGTTTCGCTTGAAACTACCGGCAACTCTCTTTGTCGTCTCAGCGGCTTCCGGTTTTCGATTTCCCCCCGATCCAGACTTCCTGGTTGTCGACAAACGTTCCCCAAACACTTTAATTACATTTGTAACGGTTGATTTGGCAACTTTTAGCGATTTTGCCAACTTTGCGTGCGAGTAGCTCGGATTTTCGCGATGCGCGAGCAAAATTTTGATACGCTGCTCTTCTTGCTTGGACGGCATTTTGACAACTGAAGAGTGAATTCCAAAATCAAAATAGGAGCAACATTCTACACACACACACCTTCAAAATGAGGGGTGTTCAGGTTTTTTAAATGCAAAATTGAAAAAAATACGTCAAGTTGATATTGACCAAATTTTGACCGTATCACCCTTTATGCTGTCGAGGAAATGCTTTTCTACGTTTCTTTGAATCATATTTCAATCATAAAAGTGCTACTTTAAGCATCAACGACAAAAATCCACCCAAGCAAGAACATTGTTCTAAATTTTCATTTAATTTATTCTCTGAGCTGATCTGGCTGTTAGGAACACAAAAAGGAACAGGGACAACAAGTATTCAGAAAAAATCATCCTCATCTTTTAGCTCTTTACTCAAAAGCGCTCCAATGCTCCCAAAGGATCTAAGTTAGACGCAATTAGATGTACCATCTACTAAGAGACCAACACATACCAATTTGGAGGTTAAATTTTGCAACAACTAACAATGTCTAGTGTCTACGGAAATGGATTTTTATCAACCCTCAGGATCTCAGTTCATCTCAGGAATGTGCCAACACCCCGCTGAATTTATATTAGGCGCAAAATCATCAAAATACCCTTTTATTTGAGTAATTCTTGCTCAACTTGCAAAAATGCAACATCAAGCATTGAGCAATCACAAATTCGCAACTCTATTTAAAATTTAAAATGAACAACCATCTTCAAACTACACCTAGTAATCAAGTTGTTTGAAACTAGCAAATTTTGTCATACTTCTGTGATTAAGAAATATTTACCGGAATTTGAATGAAATTCCCTGAGATTCCCTGATTTTCCAGGTCCAAAAATGAATTCCCTGATATTCGCTGATTTTCCAGGGTTTTCCAGGTAGTTCGCACCCTGTATATCTTTCAAGTATTTAGGTATCTGGTTCGATTCCAAAAGCACGTGGGGAAAACATATTGCGTATGTGAAACAAAAATGCCAACAAAGAATCAATTTTCTTCGTACAAATAGCGGAACTTGGTGGGGAGCACACCCGGAAGATCTGATTAGGTTTTACAGTACGGCAGGTTTTGCTTTCAGTCCGCAGCAAAAACTTAAGCTGCAACGAATTCAATACCGTTGCCTTCTTATTGCGCTAGGCTGTATGCACTCGACTCATACGATGAGCCTCGAAGTACTCGCGGGTGTTCTCCCACTGACAGATCGTTTCGCGGAACTGTCCTTTCGGTTTCTTATCCGTTGTGAAGTAATGAACCCATTGGTAATAGAAAACTTTGAGAAGCTGCTCGACAGAAATCCTCAAACAAGATTCATGAGTCTCTATTACGAGTACATGACTCTGGAGATTGGCCCTTCTTCGTACAATTCGAATCGTGTTTGCTTTCAAGCTTTCTATAGTTCCTCTGAAAATTTTGATCTGTCCATGTTGCAAGAAATCCGTGGAATACCAGATTACCACCGGTCGATGCTTGTTCTCTTAATTTTTGCAAACAAGTACCAGCATGTCAGTAACAATAGGAGTTTTTTCACAGATGAGTCAACTATAAATGCTTCCACTGGATTTGGAGTATTCAACGAATTTCATAGCGCCTCATATCAACCAGAGTTGCGACCTATCACAATCACTATCATCAAACAGCTGATGGTAGTAACGCTTTGTACATTCCTATCAATGTGCTCGTCGAAGCTCTCTCCATGACCATCCATCAAGTTAACGAAAGAAGTAAAAAGTAACTGGTGAATCTCGTCTTCTGTTGTGATCCATCACCGATCTGGTCATTCCTGACAATCACGACACTCATCTGTGCTCGTTTTGAAGCAGTTGCTGCTTTGCTTGCTTATGTGAGTGTGTTGGTGAGTGAGCCCAACAGCTTCCGTTTAATGTTGCCTGCTTTGTTTGTAACTCACACACTCGCGCCTGCCGAGACGAATTTGGAATGCGTAGGCATTGTTTTCATTTTCTTCTGTCATTTCGCTTTTTCTCATGATCGTACTGCAGAAGTCTTCACTGTTTTTGTTGTCCTTTTCATTATCAGCAGCGAGTGTAGCGTTTTGCTTGTGAGCAGCGACCATTACTGGTGATTGTTGTTTGCCATGGCTCTAACTCTCATTGCGTGACAAAACGATCTGTCAGCGATAGTCGGTTGATGCGATTTTTTTTTTTTTTTTTTTTTAATTCTTTATTAAAGAGATTTTTAAAGGGTTGATGCGAAGACGAGTGTCACGTGAGTGTCATGATATTTTGCATCACTGATATCAACTGCAGAAACCCTGTTCCGTATATGTTGCGGAACTACCAGCCATGTTCTACGCAGTAGAGCAAATTGCCTCACTACCTTTTGACCATTATTTCATTTTTACGGATAGACTTAGCTCATTGGAGGCACTCCTCGCATTTCCTGACCGAAATCCGAGCCAAATTGAGTACTTTATCTAACTGCTCCTATACCATCACTTTAGTCTGGGTTCCATCTCATTGCTCTATTCCGGGTAACGAGAAAGCGAACTCGTTGGCTAAAGTGGGCGCTTATGGAAGGCAATATTTTTGATCGACAAATCGCCTTTGAAATTTTTTCTCAATTACCCGTCAGCAAGTCCTCACCAACTGGCAACACAAATGGAATGAGAGTGATCTGGGAAGATGGTTACATTCTATTCTCCCACAGCCACAGGTGTCGATCAAGCCGTGGTTCAAAGGCTATGTAGGCATTTCTTTCGAATCGAGCTCGCAGGCAGCAATTTGTGCGCTTGTGGTAGTGGTTATCACGAGATCGACCACGTGTTTTGGTCCTGCACCCTCCATTGTGTTGCTAGATCCGAGTTATTCGCATCCCTCATGACCCGAGGAAAACAACCTATGCGGCCCTTTAGAGATATCTTGGCAAGCCGAGATCTCGACTATTGCAATTTAATTTATGTGTTTTTAAAACGGATAGATCTGAGGATTTAGTAGTTAATGTTATCTTGTGTTTTCCCACGCTGTTAGCTGCCCATCGGTGTACTCCCATGTTCGTCTTTTTCATCAGTATGTCGCTTAGTTCGAAATCAATCAAATCTCCAAACCTTGTGTTCTCAATCCCTACCTTGCAGAGGCGTCGCGTGCCTCATTTGTTTACCTGCGCACCAAACTTTGTTCGTTATAGTTTACCACCACATATTAGTTTATTTTTTTTATTTTTCAATGCTCCATGAATTCGAGGGACATATTCTCAATTACTTTATTAATCACTACCTAACGTAACATTTGAAGGGTCTATCATATTGTGTAAACAACACTTGTATGGCTCTTTCCGCGTTAAGCGAAGTAGGAGGAATTCTGCAAAACTCAACTAATTCTCGTTTTATCACAAGGCTTACTCTTTCGACTGAAGTGTAATGAAGAATATCCGTCAAACACTTCCGAAAACATTTTTTGATACAATACCAATACCAATATACCATCGGGGGTTCCACAAGGGAGTCACCTAGGACCTCTCATTTTCGTTCTGTTTATTAATGACGTGTGTCATATGCTAAGTTCCTGTAAGTTGCTATATGCGGATGATCTTAAGCTGTACCGTGTGATCAAATCGATCGTGGATTGTTGCGCACTACAAGGTGATATAGAGCGATTGTCATCCTGGTGTCAGATGAATGGAATGCAAGCCAATGCTGCCAAATGCAAAGTGATTACCCTTACCCGCTCTCACTCACCGATCATTTTTGATTACTCTATGAATCAATCGCCGCTGGAAAGGGTTAATGCCATTAAGGATCTTGGGCTTATCTTGGACAGCAAACTACGGTTTAACGAGCACATATCCATGACAGTTGCAAAGGCCAACTCCATGCTAGGATTTTTGCGCCGCAATACTGCACAATTCGACGGCGTGTACGCCCTGAAAGCGCTGTACTGCTCTATGGTCCGCAGTGTTCTTAAATATGGAGTACAAATTTGGGCTCCATATCATGCTGTTCATGTACTGCGCATTCAGAGAATCCAGAAACAGTTTATAAAGTTTGCATTACGACGTCTGCCATGGACAAATCCAGATAGTTTACCTCCGTACGAGCATAGATGTGCGCTTATTGGACTGCAAATACTAACAAATCGCCGAGTCTTTCTCCAGAGGATGTTCATATTTGACATGATTAGTAATCATATTGACTGCAGTTGTTTGCTCGGGAACAATTTCCAACACTCCAGCTCGCCGTCTCCGCAACTATTACTTTCTGTGGACTCCCGGACATCGTACTGCTTACGGTTATAACAATCCTCTCGATAGATGTTGCAGACTGTTTAATGATGTATGTGATGTTTTTGATTTTAATATAAGTAGACCAGTTTTTAAGAATAGGATTAAGTCACTTTAAACAGTCTGTATGGCTAAAATTTCAAAGATGGTGGTTAAATAAATAAAAACAGTGTCAGAATCTAGAGAAATTTCTTGAAGTTTCCTGGATAGCAAACTTGAATCAATCAACTCGTCAGAAAAACACTATCAGAATGAACCAGGAGAAGCTCATAAGTTTTGACAGGCGCAACGGCGCAACCATCGGTAATTGAGAGATTTAAAACTGACAAGAGAGTGAGAGCGAGCTTTTGCGCTCTCTTTCTCCATTACTCTTTTTGCCTGCAATCAGATATCCAAGTGCACAGCGAGAAATGCACACTTCAGGCACCCATACATCACAAATGTTCTTCTAATTTAAACTCACACATTCAAACCGGTCTACAAGTATGATACACGTCCATAGCGTACCAGACTGCTGTTTCCGTGTTGGTGGTATGTTTCAAGAGGTGATAGAAGGTCTGCTTGGCTTACATCAGGCATTTGACCATTCACAAACTTGCCACCCAAAAAAGCTCGCTTTTAGGTGCACTATTTAACGAGTTTTGTCATGGTAATGATATTGACATGCTTAGAAATCAATGCATTAGGGATTAGGCAGAACATCCAAACTGAACTGAATCCTTTTTGAAGCAAATCAAGGTCGAAGATTTAATTGAGCCACATTATAAAATAGTGTATTCATGGTCACATGTGGTCTGGAGTAAAGAAGTACAGCTATAATGTGACCATAAAATCTATTAAAATCTAAACGCATTTTTTTTAAATTATTTACACCTGTGTCGTGCACAGGTTACACATGTGGACGCGACGCCACTGCTACCTTGCCATCCATTTTTTTTTACATTATGTTGCCCCTAACTTCGAGATAGCCGCGAGTAATCGACCCCCGCTTTACTAACGTTCGTTTTAAGTAATTTTGTAACCTAAACAATGAATATCGGCTCCGCAAAGCTACGGCAAATGAGCCTGGAAAAATAAACGCATTATATATATATATATATATATATATATATATAAAAAAATCATAACAATCAATCATGACAACTGAAAAGAAGTTGTAGGTAATTAAATGTTCTTTGAGAAAAAAATACACTGAAAAAAAAACATAGTACATTCATAGTACAAAAAAACCTAAAACGTTGATTTTTTCAAAACATCCCCCTTTGATTTTTCTATACTTTTTTATGAAGAAAACTGAATTAATGCCATGAAATTGCCAATGCCATTAACTTGCTTCAAAAAATTTCTATATTTTTTAATTTTTTTTTCACAATTTAATGTAATTTTAACCTATCAGACCATTTTCAAATGTTAGTCGAGATTTCCAGCAATAAAATGTTTTTTCCATGATTTTATATTAAATAACAAACAATTCATCCTCAGATATGGTGGCTGTCAGACCCCTTTCTATCTAGGCGCAACGGAGAAAAAACAAGTTTATAAGTAAATATTCTCCGATATACCCAACAAATCAACAAACCCGTTAATGTGCCTTTTTTCAGGCCTCTATTAGCTGTATACCTGGGTAGAATTGTGTATGTCATTCTTCAACATTCTTAAAAAAAATATCGATGGGATGTATTTTGAGAAAATCAAAGTTTTATGTTTTTTACTATGTTTTTTTTTCTTTCAGTATCTTTTTTCAAAGAACATTTAATTACCTACCACTTTTTCTCAGTTATCATTTTGATCAGATCAATCATTTTCATTTTATGATTTTTCGAAAAAAAAATACAATCCATTCTATGAATAGGCCTCTTTAAAAAGTTACTCTGGAGAACAAAATTATATTTTAATTAAACATGCAACCATTGGTAGCAGGGAACATATTGTATGTTTCATTCAAATCGGAAACACTCACGTCCAACCAGTTTACGTTTTGGGCTGGAAATGCTCTATAAACATAACGGGGAGAGTGGGAATGCCAACTCCCCGTTGATAACATTTCATGGATAAAGGGCGGCCTCTTCTGTCCATTCATTGAGGCATATTTCTGTTTGGGGGCTCATCTTTTTGACCAATTGTGCGATCATGTTGCTGTTACTGTCCCGCGACTTTGCCTATCGATCCACCCAATCCCTTTTTCGCGCTTCATACAGCGACATGTTGAGGACAATCAGAGGCTATTGAGCTTGATGAAGACAAACAGAGCCCACTGCCATCGAATTTAGTATCCGTGATACAATGGGTGCAAGGTTGCAAATACTCATTTCAGCTAAAATAATGTTTTTCGGAATAATAAAACCAAAAGATGGTATGATGGCATGTTTAACTTGTAACTTACAAGAAGAGGTTACAAAGTATGCGTTTGAAACATAAAACCTGTAAATTTTGCTTTCTATGAGTCACAATCAGCGATTTTCTGATCGCTGAGTGAGTGAGTGAGTGAGTGAGTGAGTTTGTGAAAAATCGCTGATTGTGACTCTCATGAAGTGAAATAAACAGGTTTAATATGTCAAACACATTCTTTGCAACCTCTTCTTGTATCCTACCAATTCAAAATTTGATCATGGCATCTAATTATTTCATAATTTAGAAAAACATTGTTTTAGCTGAAATGAGTATTTGCAACCTTGAATGGGTGGTAGACCATCAAGAACATTTCCAGCTCAAAACGTAAATAAAAAAATACCAGTTTTGTCCGGACCCTTTCCGATATGAATGAAACATTGCATCTGTGTTGGTTGCTACCTAAGATTACATTTTGCATTAAAATATGACTACTTAAAGACTGAGTGGTGCGAAGTGAAATTTTCTTCATGTTGGTAGTGTTGAAATAAACGTTTCATCACCGTCGGTTGGTAGAGAGAAGTGTCAAACGGCTTTTTGTGCAGAGCCGATTCGTGACTTTGTGATTGTTTGTTGACATTGTTCATAGCTGGAGTTTTTACGGAGTGGAATAAAATTCAGAATGAAGTGTTTTTCTCAGATGCAAATTTAATGTGGCCGACGATATCTATGTAAGTGCTGTCGAAATTCCCTGGGACCTCCAATGGCAACGATTTGACTTCCCTCCAAATCGTGTGAAACTCGAACATGAAAACTCTATAGAACCCCCGTAGAACCTCGCTGGCAGCAACTAAAATATCCACTGAAACCTCTTCTGTCGCGGGAAAAATCTGTTGAAATTTCCTGGAACTTTTGTACTATCATCACAAATCTCCTTAGAACGTTCTCCGAAGTCACAGTCGTTCCTGAGCGAAAAAAATCGGAGGGGTTTTTTTCAGTGCAGGAGTCTACTTTGGTCCAAAATACACAATAATACTGTTATTTTTAATTGTTTGAGTCGTTTTGAATCACGTTTTTAAAAAGATCAAAAACATTACTGAAAAATATTTATTTTTTATTTTGGACGATAACAATACTTCTATCTATTTCAACGAACCACAATGATAAAAAAGTGGTTCGATTTGACAGCTCGAAAGTGGTTCGATTTTGAGGTCCGTCTTCGCACCACTCAGCTTAAAGAGAGAGAGGGAAAGATTAGTAATTTCCATTTCGTCGAGTATTAGTCAAGACACTAAAGAAGTCTGCACATTGTAGACGGAATACGCGTATCTGTCAAGGATAAGCAAATAAGGTAGTGGAATTAAATGGAAATTACTTATCTTTCTCTCTCTCTTTATATTATCGTTTCAGTAGAAAACCGGAAAATCCCACACGCGCCAATTGAATTTACTCTCGTTCTGTACGTTAAACATAACGTCGGACATAGTGCGCTGTATTCACACAATGATGCGCTATTCAGCGCACTATGTCCGACGTTATGTTTAACGTACAGAACGAGGGTAAAATCGAATGTCGCGTGTGGGATTTTTCGATGTCCAACTTGAACGACAGTACAGGTATTCCACTAAGACTCCCACCTACATCAGGATATGACTACTTTCCAAGACTATATTTTTAAAAAGGCGTGTTAAGAGAAATTGAATTTTATTTCATGGTCATCGATCTCTCTCATTTAAAATTCTTAACCGATGATCGAGGTTTCCGACTTTCGACACAAATTTTCATCGTGCGCAAAATAATGTACTTTCCTTCTCGTGTGTACAACAAACCAGTAGACCACCATCTCACCAAAAAAAAAAAAATGAACAGAGAAGAAAAGTTCGAACATGCAGTCAAAGCAAAAAACAAATCAAAACATCTGCCCGCATCGTGGTTTTCCACACATCCTGGGCACGTCTTGCTCAACGATTGGTCGTCTTGCTTCTTTCTTAATTTCTTCACTGTTTGCTGACTGCACAAGACGGTACCAGCGTGTCCGGTTGGTGTTTTTACATTTCGGCTGATCGTATTACACTCTATCAGCAAAATAATATAGACCAGTGGTCCTCAACATTTTCCTGGCAGATCGTTCGATGAAATTTTACCAGAATTCTCGAATCAAGTCGTTAGGATCGTAAAATGTCTCTAGTGGTTCGCATATAATTCGCGGTTGGCAACCACTGTAGTAAACAATATTATTCCACCGGCTATATCTTATACATACAAAACTACATACACATAAGCTGAGGGCGTAGAGTTCGAATCGCATATGTGTTTGACGAACCGGAATGTTTATTATTGTTGTTTGGCTGTTTTTTGCCTATACTTCAATGCGAACACGTACCTGCTAAGGTTTGCAAATAAAACTCGTACGAACACCAACCGACAGTTGTTAATGTTATGTTTAGATTAAAGAAAAGCGGTACCCAACCGAACAATTACGTCAACGTCGTCGGAAGAAGTGGTACTGGTGCTATTTGTAGCTATCATATCTCTTATCAGCACTACTTCAGTGCTTTGTGGTGCGGTGTGGGCAATGACTCTTGATTGTGTTTGTGTTTGTATTTACATTTTGATTGAACTAACAGAAAAAAAATACTGTTCGGTCGAAGTAGGCTAATTAAATTTCGGTGTGCAATATTAACAACGAAGCATAAGATCGAAAATCACGTGGTATGCTTCCGGAGTAAAACTTATCATTTCTACACAACGATCAAGGTTGTCTGTTTTGCTTACCCGAAGCGAAACTTGTACCCTAGCACCTATTATTTTCAGCGCAATTAGATACACAAAGTAACGAAACCCTTGCTCAAGGTCACGTGTAGTTTCACTGGGCCGGTCTGGCTTGATGTGTATCTAGAGCGAAGAAGCACGTTTATAGTCGGTATGACCACCTATGCGAGGAGTTTGAACTTGGTTGGTAGTGTGCTACGAATAAAACGAGTGCTCAGTGCTGTGTAGCGCAATGGAAAAATCCAATCGACTAGAATCTATAGTTAATACCGTTATCGTGTAAATACGTTTAACACACATTAGTTTATAAATTAAGATAATCAGACTGATTGGGATTGTAATACGTGGAACCGGTTAGTGCGGATGTTACGGTTTTCGCTACTAAGAAGCATTTTAGAAACCGATTGACACACTTGATTCCTTGGGACACTTGACCCAAAATCCGCAATGGATTGTTTTGCATTTGCGCCAGTTTGATAAGCTTTTTATTCTAATATTTTCAGAATTCTAGATTTCATGTGAAGCGTGAGATAGTTTTGAGTAGATTTAAAAAAAAAACCTGAATTGGATTCAAAGTAAATTTTAATGACATTTTTTAGGAATTTCTGAGGAGCAGAACTCCTATGAACTTCAGAGGAAAATTCCAACGGCATTCTGATGATAATTTCATGAAGTTTGTGGGAGAAAACGAATCCGGAGCATAAGTTCTTGGGCATTTTTGGAGAATACCTAGGGGGTGTGGGGGATGCTCAAGGGTGTCCACGATGAAATTGCCACACTATGAAATTGTTCTAACTTTTTAACCGTTGGGTAGAATTTAATCAAAATTTGGGTGGATTTAGTTCATAGTGCATTATTTACATCCTGCAAGTTTTAAAGTCCTGTGATCAAAACTCGCGGAAATGGAGTCGAAAGAACAGCTCGTGCGTGATAAAATCTTGCGCATTCATCACGAGAACAAGGATCTCTCGCATCGTTCCATCGCTAAAACGTTGAGAATCGCGAATTCCACGGTGTCGCGAGTGATTAAGCGGTTCGAGGAACGGTTGACCACCGATCGGAAGCCAAAGAAGTGAAGGAAAAAGTATTCCGTACAACACCAAAAATCACAACCGCGTAGTTGGGGCCTTCAACCGAAATCCGAACGCCTCCGTTAGGGATGTGGCTAAGAAGCTGCACCTAAGCCGAAGTTTTGTCCAGAAGACCAAAACTAAGGCTGGGCTTCGAACGTTCAAGGTACAAAAGGCCCCTAATCGCGACGAGAAGCAGAACAAGTCCGCCAAAACCCGTGCCAGGAAGTTGTACCTCAACATGCTGACGAAAGTTGAATGCTGCATCATGGACGACGAAACATATGTGAAGGCCGACTTCAAACAGATCCCCGGCAACCTGTTTTTCACGGCCAAGGATAAGTTCAGCGTTCCGGAGCATGTCCGCACTCAGAAGATGTCCAAATTTGCGAAGAAATTCCTGGTTTGGCAAGCCATCTGCACGTGCGGGAAGCGGAGTGCACCTTTCGTGACCCAGGACACGATGAACGGACAGGTGTACATAAAAGAGTGCCTCCAGAAGCGGCTGCTTCCTCTCCTGAAGGCCCACAACGTCCCAACAATCTTCTGGCCGGATTTGGCCTCATGCCACTACTCCAAGGACGTGCTGAAGTGGTATGCAGACAATAAGGTCAATTTCGTGCCGAAAATGTTCAAGCCTCCCAACACTCCGGAGCTCCGCCCCATCGAGAAGTACTGGGCGATTATGAAGCAGCACCTTCTTAAACGACCTAAGGTAGTGAAGACAGTCGAGGAACTGAAGAAAGTATGGGTTTACATGCAAAAAACGGTTGATTCACAGGTTGTGCAGAATCTTATGGCCGGGGTTAAGGCCAAGGTGCGGGCATTTGCGTATGGACTGTAAATAAAATACGAGTAAAATGGTAAAATGAAGTTTAATAGTTATTTCTCAATCCCTGAAAATTTGATGGCAATCGGATGAAAACTCGAATTTTGCGAATCAATTTTGTGTGTGGCAATTTCATCGTGGACACCCTTTAAAAGGAGGATTACAATTAATTCTGAGAATAACCCCAGGACATCTTAAAAAAAAAATCGGAAAATAATTCCAGTACATTTTCCATCACAACTTATGAGGAGATAAGTAAGAAATTTATCAGGAGAGATGGAAATGAATTCTTACAGGGTGGCAAGTGAATTTCCATTTTGAAATTCCTGTTTTTTTTCCTGGTTTTCCTAGTCAATGATTTAAAAATTTCCTGGTTTTAAAAACCATGTATTTAAAAAACAATTCATAATAAAAAAACATAGTGAATCCTTGTACCCTCATTCTTCGCGCAATGCGGAATTTCACAAACCAAAATAGGTATTAAGGTTCTTGTGAATGCCCGTGAAATCCTTATCTGATTGTTTGCTGTAAAGAAGCTAGTAGGGAGCTGCGCTACTTCGTCGTATCATGGCGCCTATTTCCGTTCTATGACTATAATAGCAAAGCGTTTTCACTTATGCTTTTGCAAAAAATTCTTTGCTTACAAGATTAATTACGATTGACACTGAAACATTTGCGATAACCCGTAAAATGAGCAATTTTAATGGTGTATGACGAAGAAAAGCTGAGATACGACGGACTAGCGCGAAGCCCTATCTAATGTCTGAAATTTAGAGATCTAAAAGTCCCTAAATCTTGAGATTTCTGTTTTTGAAACTGTGATTTTTTTAACTTTATTATTGATATTTTTAGCCCGTTTATCTCAAGGTGAAATTGTGAAGTGTGATATGAGGACTTTTTAAACAAACCTTTGCTTCTAACAATTTTACGGATTTCCAGTTTTATTATTTAAATTTTCCGAAAATTGTCAACGATCTTATTTAGCGGAATTTTGATTACAACATGATTTCAAAATCATATGATTAAAAGATTTCATAAACAACGCTGGTTCAATAACTCTTATTATTAAAAAGACTGACTGCTGAAGTTCATAGAAACTCCCTAATGTTCGTAGAACTTCCCTGAAGCGTTCATTGAAGTTTGTATAGCCTGAATTTCATGGGACTTCCCCGAAGTTCGAAGGACTTTTTTTAAGATCTTAGGACTTCCCTGAAGTATGAAGAACTTAATTGAATATATGAGGACCTAAATTTAGAAGAGCTTCCCTGAAGTTCATAAGGCTTTAAATATCGAAGGGTTTTCCAAAAGTTTGTAGGTCTTTCCTTAATTTCTTGGAAATTACCTGAAGTTTGGAGAGCTCCCATGAATTTCGTAGAACTACCTGTAGTTCAATCGACTTCTCGGAAGTTCTAGGAACTTTTCTGAGCTTGGAGAACTATGTTAAGTTCAGAGGACTTCCCAAGAGTATTGAAGATTTCTCTGAAGCTCGGAAAAAATCTATAAATATCATAGGATTATCCATAAGTTTTAAGCAATGCCTAAATGTCGTAGAAGTTACATTAAATCTGAAGAAAATTCTGTAAAATTCACAGTTATTCCCCAAAGATTAAAGGACTTCCCTGAAGTTCGTAAGACATCCCTGAAATTTGTAGAACTTCTCTGAAGAGAGATTTCCTGACCGTCGTAGGTCATTACAGTAGTTCACAGGATTTTCCTGAAACTTGTAAGACTTTCCCAAATTTTGTAGAACTTGCATGAAGTTCGAAGGGCTTATCTGAAGTTTTTAGAAATAGAACTTTTTTATTGAACATATTGAACAGGTA